CAATTACAATTATACAATTAATTACATTATGTGACCGGCAGGGGTCGCTAGGGGGTCATCCAGGCTTTTTCCTCCTCCATAGATCTTCCTCGCCACTCGCCGCTCGTGCCGGCTGCATTCGGAGTTTGGCCAGCACCGGTATTTTGCTCCCCTGCGCAGCACCGCCGGTTCCTCCCATCTAAACGGGAGTACCCATTTATCTACTCGCAGATGGAATAACTTTCGAATTGCTGGGTGAGCAAGGAGCTAGGACAAGAGACAGGAGCTCACCCTGTCCCGCGGGGCAGGCTCGAACCCCTGGAGAGCCAATCATTCTGACCGGCAACTCCTGCGTCATTAAGTCCTTGCGCTTAATGCAATTAATTAATTAATTAATTAAGCAATAAAATTGCTGTTTATTTCATTGTACTGGTTTATATGTTGAAGCTTGCTCCCATGTTCCCATCTATGTGACTTCCCCAGGTATTCCATGAAAGTTAGTGGTAAATCATAGAATCATATTGTAGAAGGGACCTTAGAAATCAACTTGATATTCAGGGCAAGATCCACTAGTGCAGTGTTTCTCAACCTTGGCCACTTGAAGATGTGTGGACTTCAACTCCCAGAATTCCCCAATCAGTGGCCAAGGTTGAGAAACACTGCACTAGAGCATTTTTGACAGATGACTCTGTCTGAAGACCTCTAGCTGGAATGTTAGTAGGAGGAATGTTAGCAGGAGGAATTATGTATATTGCATCCTCCATCCTCAAGTAAATGCCAAGAGACATGGCCCCTTAGCAAATTTGCCACCTGAAACTGTGATGAAGAAAGAGATTAGGCTTCAATAGTCAAACATAAGAGTCAAGTTATCTTCCCTCCAAAAGCAGGAAAGTATGCAAGAAATTAGCTGAAGTATTGGGAAAACCAAAGTGATCCAGTTAAGCAGATAATATCTGATCAAGAACCACTTTAACCTTACATGTGAAATCTTAAAAAAAGAACAGTTCAATATCTCATTTTGAGAACAGAGGCAATATCATGATTCCATCAGGTTTTCCTATCCGCTTTTTGAGGTCTTGCATGACCATCATCTCTATATTTGGGTATTAGTAAAGACACAAGCTAAGCTCAGTAAAAGAGGTTGCAGGACTGCACATTTAGACATAAATAACCATAATTGTACAGCTCCCATTAACCCCAGATATCAGGCTTGAAGCTAAATGCATACTCCTATTGCTCATTCTATGCAAATGCAACCGAAGTCTGCATATTCAAGACAAAATCCCATTAATTATACCTAAAATGCATGATAGAATTTTGTTGATGGTACTGTCATTTTTATTTTAACCTCTTTGAGCATGTTATACATGAAAGATCAACATATAATCAAATAGCAATTGTGAAATAAATAGTTGCAAGTCTGTTAGTTGATTCATGTTGGGTGTGTTTAGATCAATGCTTTAAAATGAACATAGCTGCATATAGATTACAAAGAAAAAAGGGGGAAATAAAGTAGTTCTTAATTAAATCCTGAGCACTTGAAGGGTTGGGGGAGACATACTTGTCATAATAATAAAATGTCTTGGAACAGATTGTTGGGCAATTGTTCTGAATTCTGTAAGTAATCTCATAGTTTTGTATATATTTGTATAGATTTTGAATAGATCAATTGGATAATAATAATAATAATAATAATAATAATAATAATAATAATAATAATATAAACATGCCAAATCCAGTCTAAACATCTGGCTGATTGTGTGATCAACCATAATAATAAATTTATATGCCATGACTATACCCAGAAACTATGTCAAGCTGCTACCAGCAATGGCTTCATGGCATATTTCCATCATTACTTTTTATTCATACAGCATCTACCAAATAAATCATACCACAAAAGCTAAAGAGATTTCATTTCCTTTTAGTAAAAAATGGAACAGAGTAGTAAAAAAGTGGAACCGAGTAGTAGTTCCTTTTAGTAAAAAGCCCGCAGTCACTTTCCCAATAATTGCAGTTTTAAAAGATAAAAGGTTTGTTATTCAGTAATACAAAGCTATTTTCTTATTTTTCTTCTTCTAACCTATTATAATTAATTTCTTTCAAATGTCTGCATCAACTGTTTATTTATTTTAAAAAGTGATATTTTGGGACAAAAAAAGTCAGCACACAACTCCAATCCAGCATTTTATAAATAAGAATGAAGATCCATGGTTCAATACATCTTTTGTATCAATTTGCAGTCTAAATAAAATATGCTTGTGCAAGAGAAAGAATAGCCCACGGTGACAGCCACTTTCAGACATAGTTTTTATGTTGGGAGTTTGCTCATGGATAATTTTTCTTTGGGCAGTTATGCAAATAAATGGATTTGGGTTTAGGACAATATGAATATTTCGCCATAGTAAAATGTCAGCAGATTTGGAGACTCAAATGCAGTGACTGCACAAATGAGGTAGAAGCTGAAAGAATGTTTTAAACAAAGCAAAAGAACAACAATTTATAACAAAAAAAAAAAAATAGATTCACAAATGAAGCAATACAATAAGAAATGGAAACGGAAGAGACTGGCATGTCCCTTCAGCTGTGGGGGGATCCTTGTCAGAAGCAGCAGTAGTTGTTCTTCAGATTAAGTCAGCCTACCCTGAAACCTATCCCCAAAAGCTAACTAGTTTATTGCGAATATTTTCATTTTAATAACCAATTAGTAAAATATATCTTGGTTTATTATCAATGATTTTATTTTCTTCTCTCAGGGAAGAAATATTTGGTTTTTTTTCTGTCTGTATAATTGTCTGCCTGTGTGTCTCTTTTGTATCCTAGTCTTGCCAGGAAGTGCATAAAGCAGCTGCCTGAGGCAAATGATTTAGAGGCTTCCAAGAAACCAGTAATTAAATTTTATTTGTAGGGAAATAGTTGTAGGATTTCTTATCTCAGATGTCAGTATAAATTGATGAGCCACAAATATCAAGATGGACTAGTGGCATTTTTTTGCCTTTGGAAGGAAAACATTTGGAGCAGGCTTATGAAACAGATTTTTGAAAATCTTGAAAATAGTTTAAATCTTCTCAGTATAGACTTAACTCACCTTCTAACAAATTAAAGCAAGAAAAAGAAAAGAACAAAAGATATTTCCAATAGAAGAGACTATCTGTAGCTCAGGGTTGAACTGTGGAGTTCTTGGTATTCTCTGAGCCTGGTTGTTTGCTTCCAGATGTTTCATTACTCAAATAGGTAACATCATCAGTGTGAGTCTCGCACTGATAATGTTACCTAGTTGGATAATGAAATGTCTGCGAGCAAGCAACCAAGTTCAGAAAGCACCAAGAACTCAAAAGGTAGTTCTCAAGAAAAATTGAGAATTCAACTTCAGGGATTGACACTCAGTATTTGGGTGCTCATTCTACCAAAAACTTTCTTTAGTGCTCCCTTAACCTCTTCATTTCTCAAACAATAAATGAATGGATTCAGCATTGGGGTGACAATGGTGTATATAACAGAAACTAATTTATTAAGGTCGAAAGGGTGGATTCTCTTTGGTCGAGCATACATGAAGAGAGTTGCTGAGAAGAAGATGACAACCACAGTGAGGTGAGCAGCACAAGTGGAGAAGGCTTTCTTCTGGCCCTGGATAGTGGGAATATTCAATATAGTATGTATAATGCAGACATAGGAAATAATGGTAACTGAGAGTGGAACTAACAAAATGATCAAGGCCAAGACAAAGTCCACTATTTCAGCAACTGTCATATCTTCACATGCCATATTTAACAATGGTGAAATGTCACAGAAGAAATGGTTGATGATATTAGGGCCACAAAAGGGAAGCTGTGATATGAAGATGACTTTCAGCATTGAGGCCAAGAAACCAGTTAGCCATGAACCCACTGCTAATCTCATACAGAGGTGCTGAGTCATGATGGTTGGATAACGAAGAGGGTTACAGATAGCTGCATATCGATCAAATGCCATTACTGCAAGGAGGACACACTCAGTACATATGAGGGAGCTGAAAAAGTAGAGTTGTGTCATGCACCCTTCAAACGAGATGGATTTGTCTTGCACAAGGAGATTGATTAATAACTTTGGGACAATAACACAGACGTACCATGTCTCTAGGAAGGAGAGGTTGCTGAGAAAGAAATACATGGGTTTGTTAAGCTGAGGACTGGTTTTGATCATGACAATGATGACAATGTTCTCAAGGAGAGTCAGGTTGTAGGCCAAAAGGAAAATCACAAATAAAAGTGCTTGTAGTTCCATGCTGGTTGAAAATCCAAGTAAAATGAATCCCTGAATACTGCTCTTATTCTTATGATCCATTGTTCTATGGTAATACAACAGGAAGGAGGGAAACAGATTGCAGTGAAATAAAAACAGAGAAAGAATTAGAAGCATGAAAATATTTGAAACACTAAAATTATAAAATAGATACTAATCTATGTTAATGTATTAATCTACCTAAACAGATAACCTATACATCTTGGTTAGTTTGAAATATCCAGAGCTCACTTTAGCGGTCCAGCAATTTGATTTAATCAATATTTATATGATTTATTCTCATGTTACAATTTATTCTCATGTTACTCATTGTCTGAGGTGAATTTTCCAAAACTCTAGCTAAACAGTAACAGTTTATATGGATCTTAAGAAATATAAGAACTTGGAAAAAGGGAGAATATTGTTTTATAGTTCCTAGCATGATTTATGTTATTAACATAACTCTGACTTTCTAAGAAATGGAGAAATGGAGAAAATTACTTCTTTCAATTATTCTGAAGGAAAATGTGAAGTTTCAAGTTTTCACATCCTTGTTACTGAGATTCATATACCACTATCTTCTTTGATTGAAATTGCATTTTGTTAGTCAGTAAATTTATTTGGCAGAATTAGACATCTCTCCCCTCCCAAATTTCAACATGAGTTTAAAAATATTTTATATATCAACATAATACTGGGGGAAAATAATGATAAGTAGGAATGAATAAACCTATATAGCTAATATCAGATGGCTCCCATTCTACTAAATAATTCTATGATAATTAACATAAACTTCTTAATCTTCTTTAGTCTTTACAAGAGGGTTTGAGGGGTTTGGATATTTTCATGTGTGTGTCTGTGTGTGTCTGTGTGTGTTGAGAAAAAACTGTGTTAAATCTATTCTATAATCTATTCTAGATCTTAAATTGCAGTGAAAATTGTAGGAAGCTGCAGTATTGAAATTCAGCAATTATGCTGCTGAAATTTGTGGTTATGATTAGAAGGATATTCATTATGTTTGGGATCCACATATAACTCTAGGGCTATAGGCTGTGAATTCCATTTCAAAGTTTAGCTACTGAAAAACCTTCTCACAACCAAGGTTTTCATCATGGCAGCACATACACATTGTAACAGTGAGGATATTCAGAAACTGGCATTGAAGGTATAATAAGAGGAATCTATATTCATGTAGTACATCAAGATACACTTACATTCATGTGTAGGTGGACCTTCCAAGTCTCTGGACATAGATTGATAAGATTATATTGATATTCTGAAGGCTGGTAAAATCTAGATTATCCTTCACTTTCTTAGCTCATCCAATAATTTCTAAGAAGGAAAAAACATAGAAAAAAAATCTCACTTTTATTAATTATCTTGATTAAATGATATACTACACATTCTCTGAATGACTATATAACTGTATTTTTTTCTAAAAAAAGGCATTCTGTGAAAATCCACTCAAATTTGAATAAGCTAATGTATTCATTTACCCCAGATTCATATGATTAAATGTTTAAACTGTCATTATCCTGTTCCTTGTTAAATCTGAGATAGATGATAATTCTAAGAAATTTAAAGGCTCACTTTATTTCATCTTTAGTACATTTTGAGGAAAGTATTTTTCTTAAATTAGTAACTATTTTTCCACTTGCAGATGTTGAAACAAAGTGAGATTTAATGACATTACTCACTGTAGATGCAAATAACAGTTACATGTCAAAACATCTTCACAGCTTATTATTACAATGGAAAACTACTGCATGTATAGATTAACACAATATTAATATAAGGAGAAAAATGTTTGAGATGCCCCACATATCCATTTCATTCAAGAAGAACTGAAGATGATTCATGCTCAGACCCTAAGGATATTGCAGCTGAAAAATCAACTTACCTGTCCCACAAATAGTGGCATTGTGTACTCTTATGGTATAATGGTGTCACTCTAAACATATTTATGAGGAATTATGTTCAGCTTACTTCTGCGCAGATTGTGTAGGCATTGCACAACACTTTTTTTCAAAAATCAGAAATAGTGGAATTTTTTTGTATGGGGGGGGGAATAAAACCTCCCTCTTCTGTGCAATGAAAATATTTGTCCAGATGTAGACTGTCTCCCTTAACTCTGGCAGATTTATCTACAATTCTCTCACTTCATCATAACTTCAGCAGCCCTTCATTTCATCCCATCTGGTCTTTTATTCCCCTTGAAACATTTTCATCACCAAAAATAATGAAAAATCACTGATTTTCTAGACAGAAATTGAATAGAATTCATCAAGCACGCCAGCAAACACACAGAATCTGTCACATCCCTTACCTGCATCTGTGAATATTTCATATCATTGCTTATACACATTTGGTTACATTTTGAGGAAATCAAATATTATTTTTTAGTTTTAAAAGGAGGCACAAAAATAATGGAATTCTGAGCCAGTTAGAAAACAGTTCAGCTAAATTTCCCTAAGTCTGATTCATCTTTGAGAGAAAACTAGCTACTCAGGTAAGGGACTATGATGACTACAACCATTCCCTGGGTTGAACTGAAATTTTTCAGGACAGATCCATCGACCTGCCTGAATAGCCTAGGTGCATAAGAATGCGGCTGATCTGATTCTTCTTTTTAATTATCATGGGAGCTGCAAGTTTGCTTCTGGTTGGCATAATGCCCCTGCAAAAGTAACTGGCAAGATCTTAACCCTTAAACTTAAGGGTTATGTTATTATTTTACATTTTCTGACAAACATTTTGCAGACACAGTGCTATGGCAGTTCACACACTTCTGAGATGTACTTTTTTTTTTCTTAATCATACTAGATCCTATTAACAAGGACAAATCTTTCTATGATTGTTTCAGAAAAAAAGAGGGCATTTGTACTAAAAGGGATATGTGGACTTTCAATCAAATAATCAATAAATTCAAACTCAGTCCCCATTCCCCACCCTTTATTTGAAACAGTCTGATGAGTGGAGGGATCTCGCTATTAAATTTTACAGCTTTATTTCCTGCTTGAGCAACAATTGTGGACCTGAACAGCATCAATTTTATCAAGAAGAAATAATCAGAAGAGTGGAGACCTGGGCCTACTGACTTTCTTTTTTTTTTTTTTTTGAGATCTGCCTATCATCCATCCATCCATCCATCCATCCATCCATCCATCCATCCATCCATCCA